AGTTAAAAAGGAAACAAAAAAAAAAAAAAAAAAAACTTAGATGGCAAGAAGAAATGATACAAGAACTGCGCATGATTTGCAAGGGAGAGGAAATAATAATAATAATCAATTTGCAATTAGCACATTGTGTTGCACTCTTTTAATCTTTACACCAATCATAATCACCACCCATGTGGCCCTCGTGGAAGATAAAGGAGTATGAGTTCATGCTTTAATTTGCTCAAACTAAAGTTAGGGTTCAAGTTTTCTTTTGTTTCATGTGAATGTCATTGTGTTAGGATCGCTCAATACCGCACACACTCGATCAAGATGAACACAAGTAACTGGAAAATTCAAAGAGGAATATTGACTAAAAGTTTTATTGATGACGTATGTACTAGAGAGTTGTGTTAGGATCGCTTAATAACGCACACACTAGATCAAGATGAACACAAAGAGCCGTAGAAATAAATTCAAGATGAACACAAATAACCAGAAAATTTAAGGAAAAATATTGGCTAAAAGTTTTATTGATGACTCTATGTACCAAAATACAAAGAAATAAGAAAAGTGAAGTATACATAGGGTTTCAATTTACTAAATTTAACTGCAAGATATAATCTACCGGTGAAAAATATTTTTGAGCAAAACTCTAGAAGCATTCAATTTGATGCATTTGACACATAGTTTAGTCAAAAAAATCAAACTTAAACACTTTCACTTTTGGGCCATTTTCGAGTCATTTTCCGTAGGTGTACCATTGCACTTTTTTTTCGTCTTTGAGAAGAGGGTCATTAACTCGTTTAAAAAAGTTGTTTTCTCGTTTCAATATCATACCCAATACACTAAAGGTTGTTCTGAGTGTAAAACAAATTATAAAAAAAAAGCATGTACTCACTTCTATAATACCTCACATCCTTAACCCTCGAGAGACCTTAATAGAGACACCTAATGATCTTTAAATATCTCTTAAATATATGTCTACTAGATGTGCTTTCCCAACGGTTTGGTTGAGATTTGAATGCAATGACGTATTGATTATTACTACAGGTATGTTACTTCATTTCAAGCAATTCAAGAAAAAATATTTTCAATCTTTTATTTTTCAATTCAA